GGGAGAGAGGGGCACTATCGGGGGTGGGGGGGCTGTGGGTGGGGAGTGAGGGGCACCAGAGGGGTGGAGGGGGTAGTGACAGTCTTTTCACTTCTATCATGGATTTGGGGGGTTTTATCAGAAAATTTGCAATTTTTGTCAGGGAAAACCAGGATCCCTGTTTTATAAGTAATTGTCCATTTGCAAAGAATGGGTTAAAATTGTAGGGGAAATCTTGTTTTTATATCAAGTCTTTTTGCTACTATGCACCATTCCTTTGAAGCTAAATATTAGGTTACCACAGGTTTTAAAAGAACATTAGCTTAGAATTTATAGAAAATTCCTGCATCACTTTCAGCCCAGATTTCAGAAATCCACGCAGACTGTTTGAAGTTTTCACTCTTAAAGTATTAATATTGAAAGATGCTGAGTGTTCAAGATTTTGAAAATGAATCTAACTTGGAGAAAGTCATATTTCTGATGCTCAAGAATTACTGAAAGAGAGATCCATGTAATTTCTGCTAGTTCCTGATAGTCTGTCTGCTGAGAGTCATTAAAGTCTAGAATGTTTCTAACAGATTTCAAATAAAAAATGTAATGTATTTGTGTTTGTAATGCATCTATTCAGATGTATGGATTATAAGAGAAGAAAAATAAGGATAAAAATACATCTCTTTACCCAATCCTCTCCCAATTCTAAAATATTGAACCAACAGTGGACAGTTGTTATACATAGCTGTGTTGAAATAGGAAAAGTTGCACAGCTCTAAGAGAGGATGGAATTCAGCCATTAGAGAAAAATAAATTTTAAAGATTTTGATTCTGCAGATAGTAGTTCAAATATTGAATAGCTCTTATTTTTAGAAAATGTTTTAGCATCATCAAGGATTTTTGTTCCATGTATGAATTTATTTGTAGGCATGGAAGGTCTTCTCAGTGTGTTTGACTGGACTATGTTCCATTAGTTCTTGCTATTGAAAATGCAGAAGGTAGCTGCTAAACTGTTAAAATGTTTTGATTAACACTCCTGTTTGTTTAGTCTCCAGACATTCAAATTTATATATTTCATTTTTGGTTTTCAGGTTTCTGAAGGATCTTGGCTATTGCAAAGAAGAGATCCATAGTTTTACTGCATAAGCCAACATGAAGATATCACTGTTTATATGATGCAATTTTATTTATTTACATTCATGATTAAATTTCAATTCTTAAAATGAAAGCCATTTTGTATGGCTTAAAATTTGACTCTTGGTATCAGATTATATTTCTTGAATAGAATATGTCTTTGGGGGAAAGGATTTTGTACTGTGTTTTCTCTTGTTTTGTATTTTTTTTGCTAAAATTCAACTAGGGTAATAATTTATTGTAGAGGCAAGTACATTTTTACAGTACACATTATATTAGATGTTAAATTTTGTTGGTACACAAGGACTCTTCATAGCTATAATTTATCACCATTGTAAGCACTGTTACATAAAAATCTACTTGAAACATTTATTGCATTTCTATATATAAAATGTCTTATTAGCAATACTGTCTGAATTTAAATATTGCACTGTTAACTCAGGTAAATGATCGCTTCCAGTATGTTCTCATTGTTGATCTCTGAAATCTGTTTGACTGGTAAGTGATCGAAACATGTTATTGAACTTGTACATAATGTTGAACAATAAAAGATAAAATGCCTTTGTATGACAGTGTAAATTCAGATGCATTAAGTAGTAAAAAGGTTAAAAATATGGCACTTGCCATGTGCAAGACAGATGTTTAATATTCTGTTTTCTGTGTTATTGAGGGGAAGGATGATCCAAATGCTTAAGGCACCCTCAAGTAAGTGTGCAAGTGTGGGGTTGAAGCCCCCATAGGGAGGGAGTTGGACAGAGCTGGAGCTGTTGCCCAGCCAGGCGGTGCATGTGGGCCAAGGGCTACAATACACAGCAGCAGGGCCCTGTGTGGAGCAGAATGGGGCCGGGGCTGGCTTGTCCAGGGCATAGCAGGGTTTGGGCCGGCTCCCCACCGCTGCGTTTGGTCCTGGGGTGGTCAAGGGGGACCTGTGTCCCCAGATCCGTGTGCTGGGCGCGGGGTGGGCACAGGTTGTGGTCTCAGGCTCTCACCCTGCTGCCTTCCCAGGGGCCTCCACAGCCCAGTGGGTGCAATCCTAGGACTTATTTATGGCAGAGATGAATCTAGGTCTCCCATCTCAGACTTCCTACATCATCTTGGGCTGCCACGGAAGGGCCTTATGAAGAAAAATGGATTAAAGTTTGCAGTGTAGCCAAGTACTAGTGTAACGAGTAATAGGGACAGTGTGAGTACCTAAAAGAAATGGACATTTGTTGTCATGACATGAGATGAGAGTATTTTGAATCTGTGGCTCTGCTTTCTAAAATAGTGATCCCCAAAGTTTGTACCATGCCACACACAGTGTACCGCAAGAGTAACAGAATTATGCCGCAGGTTCCCCTTGTGTGAGAAAGCGTAAATGCATTTCTTGCCCTCCCTCTTCCTTTCCCTAACCCTCCATTCAGTACCCTGTGCCTGCCACACCTACTCCAGCCTGCAGCTGCTCCTTTGGGGGCTGTCACCTCTGCTGTTGCCTTTCCCCACCTTCAGGCATCCCCTGTGTAACACCCCCCATGCCCCCTCCAGCACATGCTCCCAGCAGCGTGGCTTTGAGCAGGTGGATGCAGACAGAGTCATGTTTTGGAGCCTCGTTTGTCCCTTCCATTTCTCCCATGCTCCTGGGGCCAGCAGGAGGGGCTGTGGAAGTGGTTACCAGCATGTGTGGAACAACCTTAGCATCAGGGGCTGTTCTTCCTCCCTGAGGTATAGATTAGGGGTAAAAAGGGGGAGGCAGTGGAAAGAGCAGAGCATAGTATGGCGAGGTCCTGCTTCTGCTGACCTTAAGGCTGCCTAGATAGTGATTCTCAACTTTTTTTTAGTCTTAATCCTTTCTGATTGATCTCTGATTTTTCAACTGGGATGCTGCTAAATTCAGAAAAGCTACTGAAGGGGCTTTGAGGCTAAAAAGGTTGGGAGCCACTGGTAAAGACTAATTCTTTGCTTAAGATGTATTTGTCGTTTTTTAACAGTATGTCTTGGCACTGGTATGATTTCGTCTGGCAGGGAAATTGAATATGATATATTTTGGAAAAAAAATTATACACACACACACACACACACACACACAAACACACACACAAAAGGTGTCCATCAGCATGTTTGCCCAATATGGCCCATGTGTTTTATAGTCATGTTCAGCGTTGGTTGTATTTAATCAACTTCATAGTTGGTTTCCATGACTGAGCACATGCTGCTTTTGGCAGCAGTTTAATGACAGACAATGTATTTAATGAGGTTTCTCTGTTTGCAACTATAAGACGAGGGGTTTTTTCCCCCCATGCTGATTGGGGGGGAAAAACCTCATCTTGTGTTTGAGTAAATATAATTATTCTGATTGTTTGTTTTATTTTTAGCTGAAAAATTTTTATATATAAAATGTGTGTACACACACACACACACACACACACACACACACACACACACACACACACACACACACACCTTTTTGGGTGTAAGAATGAAGTGTGCTGCCAATTTTAATCCAGAAAGGTGTGCCCCAGGTATCAAAAGTTTGGGAAACATTAGTTCAAGGTTACGTAATTTGATAAGTGGCTAAAATTTAGTATAGAATAGTATTTGAGACAGAGAAGCAGCAAAATAATTAGTTATCCTTTTCCTGGTTATAAGCATATGCGACAATAGTTGTTGCAAGTAATCTTATCTATATACATCCTTCCCTAATGGTTTTCAGTGCTATTGATGTACTGTATTATAAAATTGAATAGTCTTGTCTGTTCTGCTACAAAAGCCTTGTTAATGTCACACTTGTAACAAAAGCATCCATGCTTCGTGACATGAAGTGTTTGAATGACGATACTCAAATAGTGGGGAAAAAAATCTTCTTTGCAAGTTTTTGGGTATAAATACCCTTCATCAGGCTGAGGAAGTTTCTGCAGTTGGTGTGTCCTCTTCCTGGATGGAATGAATAGTAAAGCAGCCAGAGGCTGTTATGCATGCAAGATATTACTGACCTTATACACTTCATCCTCACATGCAACAACTTCACTTTCAATAACCAGCACTTCCTCCAGACTATGGGCACAGCAGTGGGCACCAAAATGGCCCCACAGTATGCCAAACTTTTTATGAGCAACCTGGAAGACTAATTCCTCAAGGACTGCACCATCAAACTTTTGCTATACTTAAGATATATCAATGACATTTTCATCATTTGGACTGAAAACCTACTATCTCTGATTGAATTCCATCAGAAATTCAAGTCATCACCCCTCCATCATACCAGCTCTTGAATACCAGCACCAACATCTCCTTTTTAGACATAATGATCACTATCCACCCAGAAGGGTAAAACACAGACAACAATATACAAGAAATCCACGAACCAACATGCGTATCTGCACAGAACCAGCAATCACCTTAAGCACATCAAGGAAGTTGTAATATACAGCCAAGCCCCCAGATACCATAAAATTTGCACTGAGGAGAACACCTGGGATTGTCACCTCACTAATCTCAAAAAGGCTTTCACTCAACAAGTGTCAGGTATCCAGGTTGTAGCTGTATTGGTCTAGAAGAAAAAACAATCAGGACTCATAGTAGAGATTATATCTTTTATTTTTTTTTCAAAAATCTTGTTCTAATAAAAGAATCTTCACTCAACAAGGACACTTCAGAGAGATAAATTGCACTTTTGAAAGAGCCACCTGGATGCCACTTGAAGAACTATTGCAGTACAGAAGGAAAACCTCCATGAATCGCACACCACTGGTTATGATGACATACCACCCCTCCCTGGAACGTATATGGAAAATCCTCGAACAATTGCAATCAATACTAGAAGACCACCCAGTTCCTAAAGGGATCTTCCTAGAACTACCCATCCTAGCCTTTAAACAAGCACCAAACCTCACTAACCTCATCACCAGAAGCAAACTTCCTACAGTCCAGAACGCTGAATGGATCCAGACCGTGCCTTGACAAGAAATGTAAAACCTGCCAGCACATCTCCACCACCCCCACAATTACTATACCCCACAACAGAGCCATCAGCATTCCTGGATCTTACAGCTGCACCTCCAGAAATGTTATATAACTCATCCAATGCACCAAATGCCCTGATGGAAAATATGTAAGAGAAACCAAACACCAACTGCGTACCAAGTGGTAGGGAGGCCAGTTTGCATGAAGCAAACCTGCAGGTGGATATTGATTAGGGCAGGGGTTTTCAACTGGTTTAAGGACTGTACCCTTTCCGGTACACTTCTGGCGGAGCAGCAGTGCAGGGTGGTGGATGGTGGCAGCCGCCGCCGGCTTCACACCCCCCCCCCCCCCCCGCCCTTCTGCATCAGGCCAGCCAGGCAGTGCCTGTGCAGCCCATAGAGAGGAGCCGCTGCCCTCACCACCTTCCCCCCTGGCCCTGCTCCTGGGAGGCAGTGGCACAGGGTGACAGGTGGCGGCGCTCCATCCCCACCCACATGCACGTACCTCCTAGCCCTTTTCCCAAGTATCTTTGGGGGTATGCGTACCCTCGATTGACAACCCCTGGATTAGGACAATAATCATCAACCCTTTTAGACTCAAGTCACACCTTGGAAAATGCCAGGTCTTAGTTTTCACTTCTTTTAACTGCAGGAATTCAGAAAACTCAGATGCCAGCAGGTCAGAATGGTTTTAATGTTTTTTAAATTGCTATGGCAAAAAATAATGGATTCTCTTTTCTTCATAGGACTTGCTGAATTGTTTCTGCCTTAGGTTGATAGGTTGCATTGCCCAAGTGCTAATCTTTGCATTTCTTAAATCATCTTCCAGTTATTGTGATGCATTTGTCCCATGAGTTTTGTAATCACAAAGCTATATTAGTGCTTTCCTAGTAGGGTCTCTGACTTGATGAGTCTTTGTGGCTGGATTAACACATTGGCCAGACCACAGTGAGAGGGAGGAAGAACTGCTGGTGTTCTTGAAGGGCACAATGATCCAGCCAGGATGCAGTGAACAGGTTGGGGTTTTTGGTTTGGTGCTATCTACTGCGGATTTTTCCAGAAGACAGATCAACTCTGGCTGTATGTTTCACTGATTATACTTGAATATCACTTGAAGTCTCTGATTATCTCTAGCACTTCCAGAGAGTGTCATGTATTGGTTATAAGCCTTTAAATGCATGTGGTTTGCTTTGTTCTTATTTAACTGATGAATTATCTTTCTCAACGGCCACTGAAGACTCCACACAACATTTAACAAATAGAAACATGACTGCATGGGAAAGAGAGAGAGAAACTTTGTAAAGAAAAATCTTTTAAGAATTTTTCCAGTTTCGGATGGTAGCTAATGCCTCCCTGATTAACTTGCCATTTATTAATTAGTATTCTAAAAACTTTAGATACAAACTAAAACATACCAGTTTTTATTTTACAAGTGTCAGCCTTTCAGTTCTGTAAGCTGGAATGAGTTTTTTGAACTTTTCACTTTCTTCCTGAGGGGAAACAAACAGTTATTTTCTGTAAGCTTTCAAATCAATATATTTAATGCTTGCACTGAGTTTGTGTTCAAGAGAGAACTTTAAAAGTCACTCCTTGATGCTGCAAGTTGAGATTTGCTAGTTAATTCCTGCCAGCTCATAAGAAGTTTACCTAAAGAGCTGACTGGCATGCACCAAATAAAATAAA